CCAAGAAATTTCAAATCTTTCTTTCTGATTTTACGTATAAACGCCATTTTTGTTTCTATTTTTCCTAAATCTTTCTCGTTACTCACATGTTCAGTCTATGACATTCACAACATCCTTCTGTAGAACCACATTTTTTGTTGGTTCAAGTTTCTTTTCCGTTTATGGAGAGTTTGTTTCGAATTCACTGCCCTATTGGAGGACGGATATTACATAACAGTTCAGTCCTCTTTGCTTTGTTTCTAACGAAATTTTCCAGTTTCCTAATACTTTGCTCAGTTTCTGGAAGGCATCTTTTGCGATTTCAATGTACCTTCGAATTTCGGCGTCACATTACGTAACGGCGTGAAAAATTCCAGGCTAATACTGACGGAATGCGGTTGTAGAAGCTCAAGTATTCAATATTTTTGGTTGAGATCAAAGTGTATTATCTGTTCCCGTTCCTTTGTCATATTTCTGTATTATGATCCGGTACACGGAGCCGTATTCGTGTCTTCGGTCAGTTAATGGGCTAAGGATGAGGGTTCGCGCTGGGTTTCCAACCTTGAAACATGATGCCAATTTTTTTCTTTGGTCCATATGTAAGCCTATTGCCTCTCGCATTAAATCAATCACCATTGGGTGGACGGTGTTTGGTCAATAGCAAGCAACAGATAAGTCGCAGAGGAAATTGAAAAGAAAATTTCTAAAGGAAAAATGAAAACCAATGAAATTACAAAAGCTAGAAGCAGTAAATAAATCTGGGAAGAAAAGGCGAAACTTCAATTCAGCATGTCTACGTTCAGATTTGTATGTTTTTTTTTTATCAGATTTTGATTAATATATTAGCGAGGGTAACATTGATCTGTCTTTGACAAATAAGAAATATTGGCTAAAGAACTCTATCAATAGGGCCAGTTGTCAAGATTTAGGAGCATTGTATAAATAGAATGATTTATAAGTGATAAACTGACTTGACAGCTTAGTGTCGAGAAGTCCTTTAATGAGCTGAATATCCGGCACTTGAGATTTAAAATAGACAAATGAAAATGATTTATCAACATGCAAGCAACTCTGTTGCTACAACCGAAAGAAATAGACAAGCGAATCAATTGAAGCAGAACTATGAAAAGGAGAAACGTAACCCTGGCGTGATTCGATAGTTTAAAAAAAAACAAAATAAAAAAACAAACTAATTTGAAATATTGCAAATGATATAAAAAAACATACGATATTTTATTAGGAACTCGTTTAAACCAACGCTACACAAATTTGACTACATGGAAAAGCAGATGTTAAGCAACTTCTCTGCTAATGTCAATTACGTTTAGCAACAATCTGTTAAGCAACTTCTCTGTTAATGTCAATTACGTTTAGCAACAATCTGTTAAGCAGCTTCTCTGCTAATGTCAATTACGTTTAGCAACAATCTGTTAAGCAATTTCTCTGCTAATGTCAATTACGTTTAGCAACAATCTGTTAAGCAACTTCTCTGCTAATGTCAATTACGTTTAGCAACAATCTGTTAAGCAGCTTCTCTGCTAATGTCAATTACGTTTAGCAACAATCTGTTAAGCAACTTCTCTGCTAATGTCAATTACGTTTAGCAACAATCTGTTAACGTCAGCTTCTCTGCTAATGTCAATTACGTTTAGCAACAATCTGTTAAGCAACTTCTCTGCTAATGTCAATTTACGTTGAGCAACAATCTGTTAAGCAGCTTCTCTGCTAATGTCAATTACGTTTAGCAACAATCTGTTAAGCAACTTCTCTGCTAATGTCAATTACGTTTAGCAACAATCTGTTAAAACTTTCTTCTCCTGTCAATTATGTATCAAAAAATTCTCTGCTAACGTCAATTACATTTAGCAACAATATGTTAAACAACTTCTCTGCTAATGTCAATTATGTTTAGTTAATAATCTGTTAAGCAACTTGTCTGCTAATGTCAGTTACGTTTAGCAACAATCTGTTAAGCAACTTCTCTGCTAATGTCAATTACGTTTAGCAACAATCTGTTAAGCAGCTTCTCTGCTAATGTCAATTACATTTAGCAACAATCTTGTCTACACGTTAAACAACTTCTCTGCTAATGTCAATTATGTTTAGCAACAATCTGTTAAGCAACTTCTCTGCTAATGTCAATTATGTATAGCAAAAATCTGTTAAGCAACTTCTCTGCTAATGTCAATTACGTTTAGCAACAATCTGTTAAGCAACTTCTCTGCTAATGACAATTACGTTTAGCAACAATTTGTTAAGCAACTTCTCTGCTAATGTCAATTACGTTTAGCAACAATCTGTTAAGCAACTTCTCTGCTAATGTCAATTATGTATAGCAACAATCTGTTAAGCAACTTGTCTGCTAATGTCAGTTACGTTTAGCAACAATCTGTTAAGCAACTTCTCTGTCTAATGTCAATTACGTTTAGTCAACAATCTGTTAAGCAACTTCTGCTAATGTAATTACTTTAAACAATGTCAATTAATGTCATTTTAGCAACAATATGTTAAGCAACTTCTCTGCTAATGTCAATTATGTTTAGCAATAATCTGTTAAGCAACTTGTCTGCTAATGTCAGTTACGTTTAGCAACAATCTGTTAAGCAACTTCTCTGCTAATGTCAATTACGTTTAGCAACAATCTGTTAAGCAACTTCTCTGCTAATGTAATGTCAATTACATTTAGCAACAATATGTTAAGCAACTTCTCTGCTAATGTCAATTATGTTTAGCAATAATCTGTTAAGCAACTTGTCTGCTAATGTCAGTTACGTTTAGCAACAATCTGTTAAGCAACTTCTCTGCTAATGTCAATTATGTTTAGCAATAATCTGTTAAGCAGCTTCTCTGCTAATGTCAATTACATTTAGCAACAATCTGTTAAGCAACTTCTCTGCTAATGTCAATTATGTTTAGCAATAATCTGTTAAGCAACTTCTCTGCTAATGTCAATTATGTATAGCAAAAATCTGTTAAGCAACTTCTCTGCTAATGTCAATTACGTTTAGCAACAATCTGTTAAGCAACTTCTCTGCTAATGTCAATTACGTTTAGCAACAATTTGTTAAGCAACTTCTCTGCTAATGTCAATTACGTTTAGCAACAATCTGTTAAGCAACTTCTCTGCTAATGTCAATTACGTTAAGCAACAATTTGTTAAAAGCAACTTCTCTGCTAATGTCAATTACGTTTAGCAACAATCTGTTAAGCAACTTCTCTGCTAATGTTAAGCAATTACGTTTAGCAACAATTTGTTAAGCAACTTCTCTGCTAATGTCAATTACGTTTAGCAACAATCTGTTAAGCAACTTCTCTGCTAATGTCAATTATGTTTAGCAAAAATTTGTTAATGTCAACTTCTCTGCTAATGTCAATTACGTTTAGCAACAATCTGTTAAGCAACTTCTCTGCTAATGTCAATTACGTTTAGCAACAATTTGTTAAGCAACTTCTCTGCTAATGTCAATTACGTTTAGCAACAATCTGTTAAGCAACTTCTCTGCTAATGTCAGTTACGTTTAGCAACAATCTGTTAAGCAACTTCTCTGCTAATGTCAATTACGTTTAGCAACAATTTGTTAAGCAACTTCTCTGCTAATGTCAATTACGTTTAGCAACAATCTGTTAAGCAACTTCTCTGCTAATGTCAATTACGTTTAGCAACAATTTGTTAAGCAACTTCTCTGCTAATGTCAATTACGTTTAGCAACAATCTGTTAAGCAACTTCTCTGCTAATGTCAATTACGTTTAGCAACAATCTGTTAAGCAGCTTCTCTGCTAATGTCAATTACATTTAGCAACAATCTGTTAAGCAACTTCTCTGCTAATGTCAATTATGTTTAGCAATAATCTGTTAAGCAACTTGTCTGCTAATGTCAGTTACGTTTAGCAACAATCTGTTAAGCAACTTCTCTGCTAATGTCAATTACGTTTAGCAACAATCTGTTAAGCAGCTTCTCTGCTAATGTCAATTACATTTAGCAACAATATGTTAAGCAACTTCTCTGCTAATGTCAATTATGTTTAGCAATAATCTGTTAAGCAACTTGTCTGCTAATGTCAGTTACGTTTAGCAACAATCTGTTAAGCAACTTCTCTGCTAATGTCAATTACGTTTAGCAACAATCTGTTAAGCAGCTTCTCTGCTAATGTCAATTACATTTAGCAACAATATGTTAAGCAACTTCTCTGCTAATGTCAATTATGTTTAGCAATAATCTGTTAAGCAACTTGTCTGCTAATGTCAGTTACGTTTAGCAACAATCTGTTAAGCAACTCAATTACTCTGCTAATGTCAATTATGTTTAGCAATAATCTGTTAAGCAACTTCTCTGCTAATGTCAATTACATTTAGCAACAATCTGTTAAGCAACTTCTCTGCTAATGTCAATTATGTTTAGCAACAATCTGTTAAGCAACTTCTCTGCTAATGTCAATTACGTTTAGCAACAATTTGTTAAGCAACTTCTCTGCTAATGTCAATTACGTTAAAAACAATTTGTTAAGCAACTTCTCTGCTAATGTCAATTACGTTTAGCAACAATCTGTTAACAACTTCTCTGCTAATGACAATTACGTTTAGCAACAATTTGTTAAGCAACTTCTCTGCTAATGTCAATTACGTTTAGCAACAATCTGTTAAGCAACTTCTCTGCTAATGACAATTACGTTTAGCAACAATTTGTTAAGCAACTTCTCTGCTAATGTCAATTACGTTTAGCAACAATCTGTTAAGCAACTTCTCTGCTAATGTCAATTACGTTTAGCAACAATCTGTTAAGCAGCTTCTCTGCTAATGTCAATTACGTTTAGCAACAATCTGTTAAGCAACTTCTCTGCTAATGTCAATTACGTTTAGCAACAATCTGTTAAGCAATTTCTCTGCTAATATCAATTATGTTTAGCAACAATCCGTTAATCAACTTCTGTACTTTTGTGATGTCAACGACTACCCGATATCACTTTCGTAATTCTCGTTGTAGTAGAGACCTTGTAATTGCGGATAAAACTATAATTTTGTTCAATTTAGAAATATAGTGGGGAGAGAGAGGTGTGAAAAGAGGAGAGGGGAGAGAAGGTAGATTGAAAATGGGAGAGGAGTGGAGAGGGGAGGTGAGAGAATGTGATATAGAGACAGAAGAGATGGGGAGAGAGGGAAAATAGAAAGAGGGGTAGAGGGGTGAGTGGGGAGATAGAAAGAGAGGTAGAGGGGAGAGTGGGGCTGAGAGAATGGTCGATAGAGAGAGGGGAGAATGGAAGGGAGAGATGGGGGAGAGAGGAGATAATGGTCGAGCGGGGAGAGTGGCGGTGAAACAATGGGAGATACAGAGAGGAGAAAATGAGTGAAGGGGAGAGAGAGGTAGAGAGGAAGAGGGGGGAGTATTAAATTGAAAACCCTGAAATTCTTTTGTAGGACTTTATTAAAAAAATAAAGCAGAGAATAATAAGAACTCGAATCTTCAAATTTTTTTAATTACACAAAAAGTAAAGTAGATATTAATACAGTAAAGCGATAAGCAGTTTGTTTTTACTCTATTTGCCGTGTCTCTTTCGGCCATGGGCGAAAGAAGCTGTGGAGAGACATGACCTCCTAGTTGAGGAAGGGATATATCTACGATAAAGAACAAAACAACAAAAGAACATAATTTGTTGAGATAAAGGTCGTATACCGGTGACCTAGTCGTTAAGAGATCAGCGGATATGGCATAGCAGTTCAATGCGTTGGGTTTCGGATTGGTTAAAAGTTTTTGGGCGAAAGGCATGAAACTGAAAATCCTTTTTGACTACTGCATCAGAAAATAATTCATTGTGATTTTGTGTAAGTAGCCTCAATAGGATTTCAAGGCTATTTACGCGACTCTCCACGTTGGCAAGATGTGACACAAGGTCTTTCTGTTGTGGGTCTACTTTCGCTCAATCGCAAAAGTGTACAGTCACCGCGACCATCGTCCCGGTGGCGTTGATATTTAACCGACCTTCCCTGTTTTAGTGCAATGATAAAAGAGGCCGTGATGCAAGGTAGGAATACACAAGACGAGGCGCCACCCCGCCTTGTAAAATGAGAACTGATAGTACGCATAGATCCAGACTCGAAAACTAAGTACAATAAAGTCAACTTTACAGTAAACTAGTGATTCTATGGGGATGAGTTTACTATGTTGACATCCTTTTTCTTTTTTATGTGTCGTGCGATCATGGCCCTCCACAACTTCCTGTCCCTTGTAGCTCTACGTCGTGGGTAAGACGATAAAGTATATCCAACATCAAGACCTCTGATCAGGAGGTTTTGAGGAGAGTGAATCTACCTCTTAATTGCTGGTGTTCCCAGGTCCACCCTGACTCGGGGTGGTAGCACCTGTTAGGGTCCCAGCTATGGGCAAATAGTCGTCATCGGCACTAAGCAATTTTTGTATTGATCGAAAGCAGACCCACATTAAATGAACCTCGTGTCACATCTTACCACCGTGGAGAGGCTAGTAAATAACATTGCTCTAAAAAGAGTAATTCAAGAGAGTGAGAGAGAGAGAGAGAGAGAGAGAGAGAAGGGAAGGAAGAGACAGAGAGATTTAGAGATAGAGAGGGAGGCGAGAGAATGAGAGAGACAGAAATAGTGGGAGAGCGACAGAGAGGGAGATAGAGATTGAGGGGGGAATTGAGCGAGAGAGATAGAGATAGAAGGGGAGCGGGCGAGAGAGATAAAGATAGTGTGGAGAAGCTAGAGAGGTAGCGAGAAAGAGATAGAGGGTGAAGTGAGAGAGAGATAGAAGAGGAATCGAGAGAGAGAGAGAGAGAGAGAGAAATAGAAGGGGAAGCGAGATAGAAATAGAGACAGAGGGGAAGCCAGAGATAGTGGGAGAAGCGCGATAGAGATAGAAATAGAGAGACTGACACTGTGATTTAGAAAAATACATTCGTCTTTAAGAAAAAGCTTTAGCTGGGAGAACGTGTTTGGTCCCGTAGATTTCAACCCTCGACAGTACCTCTTTGCACTAAGAGGGGCGAGTTCCGTGTAATATCAACGCCAGCATAAGAGTGGGGACGGAACAATATTTTGTCCTTGACCTATATGAATTTGTATGGTCACTCGTAATAAAAACGACCTTATGCCACGCTTATAACACTAAATCATTATTACCTCCGAAAATGTATAGAAAGTACCGTGGCGACAAAGTAAAAGATCAGTTTATATACTGATTGTAATACAGAATTGATCACCCAATTTATACCCACATTATATTAGGTTGGTGCAAAAATAATATCGTTTTTTGACGGTGAACGTCAAAAAACGACATTATTTTTGCACCAACCTAATATTTTTTTGCTTATCAAATTATTATTCTTCGTCCGCTCGCTACCGCTTCGCAAAGCAGGATATATTCACTACCTGAAATCTTTGAAGCAAAAATTTTAAATGAACATTTCATTCATAAATTGGCTTGTTATAGTTAAGGAAAGTTTTACAAATAGATGCCAACTGAACCACTGAAAATTATACTGAGAGGTATATAATCATCTGGACTAGGTATCCCTGAAAACGTTTCTGTTAAAAAAAGCAGAATTCACGGTAGTGAGGTGAAGAACAGAGGCTACACTTTGTTCCCAGGCCAAATGTAATCGGTCCTGACATGACATCTCGACTTCAGTCACTTTCTCATTTCTCTTCTACAATTTTTTTTATGGCAACTGTTCTGACGAACTATCTTCCCTAATGCCTCGAATACTTGAATTTAAGCGTGCTACTAGATTAGCAACTAGGCCTCACCCTTTTACAGTTGAAATAGTTAAATGCAACCGCCACTTCTACTCCAGCAGTTTCTTTTCTCGCGCTTCCCAACAGTTGAACTCCCTTCCGCTTAATTGCTTGGGAAAAATCCTTCTGGTTCAGTATTTATTTTTTTCCCATGATGTGAGAGATTGCCGTTTTTAATCTGGGCTACTCTCACGTTTACATTTAAAACAAGGCCCAGAATTAGCCACTTCCCGCGAATACTGTCATTCTGACGTTACTGTCCATCAATCTTTCCTGTTGAATGTAATGAAAGAGAGGCTGCCGCAGGGTTGGAATCCCTCATAATTCTAAGAGGAAGATACGACACTCTGGTCCTACGTGCAAAAGTGTCTTACATGCAAACAAGCAGCATAATAGTAGAGACTGTTTTTAGAATTTGATCGACGCTTAGATTTTTTCGCCCGCAGTCAGTTTGTATGGATGTAAAATCCACAGTTAACAAAGAACTCTTATATCTGTACGAACCATGTTTAAAATAAAATGAGGTACTCTTCTGTTCCCAATGGACTTTCGGTAACGTTATAAACAAAACATTTGATCAAATAACTGACATTACTCAAATACGAAATAAATATTTATTCAACTTCTCATTGTGTGGTCTCTGATTAGTTTGGCGTAGAGCCAACAGATGGCGCTTAAAAGTAGAGAGAGAGAGAGAGAGAGAGAGAGAGAGAGATGTATGACGTCACAGAGGAGACTCACAGATAAAACAAAATGTCGCGTACCGATTACTCTTTTCACAAAGAATAACTGATTTATATGAATTGTTATTGATTTTAAAATCATTAACTTGACACCTTCGAATAAGGATCTTTTTCGGAGTTCAAATTTAAAAGTATAGCTTTCTTTTATTTGTATTTTATAAACAATGCCATGAATCTGGTACCGAAAATAGAATTCTGCGAGGTGTAAACTTTGAAAAGCACGAAGGATTGTGAACCTATGTCTTTGGCAGCTTGTGGTCTCTGTGATTGGTACGCTATAGTCGATTTTACAAAATCAGTGCTAACAATATGGTTGAAATATATTCATAACTGAAAGTAAGACTATTCGATTCCCCCAAATATCGGATATTCCTTTCACGTCATTTCGCGTTTAAGAACGACCTACATTAGTACAGATTCTCTTCGATACAAAAGTTTGTTAAGGAAAGGAGGCATTAACATTAATTTAGAAGCAAAAAGATACCCTATAAAAGGCCTGATAGCCATGCGACTGTGGCTCACGGCTGTAGGCGGACATGTAGAGACGTAAATTACAATTTAGTCTTTTTAAAAATAAATATTTTTATACACTTGGATTAACTTTATTTAAGAGACTTAAGTAAATATAAGTTTCATTTATTTTACTTTCTTTGCAATATTCTTATTTTAATTTTGTTGTTTAAAAGTTTTATAATGTAAAATCGACAAAAATTGTCATTAAGAATTTTAACACAAAGTTATTTTTTCTCAATAATATTGTTCTTCATAAAAATGGCGATATTGATTATAAAAATTTAGTTGTTTTACGAATAATTTTTTGTCTTTTTTTCCTGACAGGTATTTTAAAAATTTTACTGCCCTTTGTGAATATAAAACAAAAATTGAAATTTTCGTTTTGCTAAATTAATGAAAAAAATGATATTAATTTAGAATTGTATTATAGAAAAATACTGTCATAATTAAATTCAATAAATTTAATATTTTTTCGACTGTTCTTGAAAATATTGCAAAAATATAAGTGAAGAATACTATAGACTTCTGTATAGTTAAATATTTTAAATTGAAATTCAATGAAATGTCATTATCCAGAATTTGTTAAAAAAAGTTCATATTATTCTCTATGTACAGTATTTACATTAGTCGGACTATTGTCCTCATCTTTGTCGCCATATTTGTTACAACGTTTCGGCTGTTGTACGCTCCGGCCTTCTTCAGGTGGTTGGAATTTCGAACTGAACCCTTTATTTCGATCACTGGGGTAGACTGTTCTAGTTCCACGTGCCATGTTTGATGGATGTCCGTTATCAGTTATCTCCTGTTAATTTTCCCTCTGAAAGTTCTCCACAAGGACACATGGCACAGTGGATAAAGGCGTTGGTTAGATCCAGTGACAGACCCAAAGAAGGTGAGTTCACTTCCTGGTTAAGGCAGTAGAGAACTTTCAGAGGGAAAATTAACAGGAGATAACTGATAACTGACATCCATCATGGCACGTGGAACTAGAACAGTCTACCCCAGTGATCGAAATACAGGGTTCAGTTCGAAATTCCAACCACCTGAAGAAGGCCGGAGCGTACAACGGCCGAAACGTTGTGATAAATATGGCGACAAAGATGAGGACAATATTCCGACTAATGTAAATACTGTACATAATACCTCATCTCAGAAATATAGACATTATTCTCTATATATATACAAATTGATTATAAATTTTTTTTAATAATTTTTGTTCTTACTAACCTCTTGAAATAAGAGTGATGAATTTTTAATTTAACCGTTTACTGCAAATAGACAAAATATATAGATTATTGGGGGAGTTGTGCAATAGACACTGTGGTCAGAAATAATCATTTCTTTTTAAAATTGTTTTCCTGATTGCAATAGATTAAATAATCCAGATCACGAATATTTTTTAAATTAGATTTATAAAACTTAATAGTGTGAAAGGGCGGGAGGTTTATTACGTCAATTCATTTTAAATTGATCCCCGCCTACGGAAGCCAAAACAAATATGCTCATTCGTCGTGATTTCTTAAATATAGAAAATTTTAAACAACATATACATATATGATAACTTCCCACGACTTGAAATGAGGATCCTTAAAGATATTAAAATATTTATTTTAGTATATAGAAGCTTATATTCCAAAACGATTACCTTACAGAAGAAGAATTATTTAATAATAATACAACATTTTTATTTTCAAGAATATAGATATATCTTTTTAAAGAAATAGATTGTGGTTATTAAATCTTTCACTGGATGCCACAGTGAAGTGTGTCTTTTTCTGACTTCTGGTGTCACTAAACTGAAAACTCTCAGGAAGTTTTTGACAGAAATCTTGATATTAGTTTATGAAACAAAAACATGGTATTATAATATCAAATACTTTTTTTTAAAGCATTTCACCCCTAGCAAGGCGGGAAGCCACTAGCACGCAAGGGGTTACAGAGGATTTAGAGCGAGAACAGATAGGAATGATAGAGGAAAGGATGAGGAGAAGGATAGTGGATAGATCAAGGCAACTGGAGATGTCGATTGACATTACATTTGTATAGTTGGAGATTATAGGTATCGGGGAAACAGGAATAGGAAAAGAGTTTGCTTGATTTTCTTAAAGTAACCCAAGAAGCAGCACTAAAATCTTTGAAATTATCTTAAAATTTAATTCATAAAATATTTATACAATTCTCATTACGACTTAATATGGAAAAATTATTAAAAACATTAAAATCACATCAATTCAGCGAAACATCCCAACAGGTAATTTTATTTTTAAAAAAATTCACCTTTCTACAGATAAAGAATTGGGTAACTCGCCAAATTGGCCTGTGTTTATTTTGTGTTCCTGTTAATGTAAATTGATTTTAATTATTATCAAAACCATGTATCATAGTAAAATAAACAGTTTCTCCATCTTCTGTAAAACAAAGGAAGACATTTGTAAGCGAGACAAAAAATAAAATTTAAAAAATGATCTAAATTTACGACGTTTTTTTTTCCAATCATTTTCAGATTGACTTGATATATCATTTTGTAAAATGTCAGACTTCTGAATTTATCATACAGTTATTTCTTTCTGTGCTTTTAATCAGTTGGTATGAATTAATTCATTATTTCTGAAATGTTATCTAAAATATCTTAAATCTGTAGTACGCTTTACGACAGGTAAAACGTCGCAAGCTTCTCGCTGCTCTATTGCTATTTCGATGGCAAATGTTCGGACGAATGACATTCTTGAGTTCCACAAGTTCTAACCTTTACAGCTACGAACCGCCATATTACACACTCTCATTCGATCCGTATACCATTGGTGAGATGTAAGTTCCACTTGAGCAGCTTCTTACGAACTGCTGCTTTGTGGAATAGAGTCGCAAAAAGATGCTTCCCCGATCACTACAATCCGTAACCCGTTCAAGTCGAGGGTCAACCGTTATCTTCCACATATATACCCATAAACTGTACCTCTTACTCTGTAAACTTCTACCTCGATTTGCTGCCGGGGGTCTTGTACAGGGTGAACAAAATTGTCAAAAAAAAAAAAAAAAAAAAAAAAAGAATAAAGTGATATTTTTGTGCACTTAGTTGGTAGAGGTTAGTTTTGTTCTTTCTTTTTGGGGCTTATGGAAAATAAGTCAATAATTGTTAATAGTGGTAAGGTGTTTTCTCATAATGGGTATAGTTGCTAATTAACTAATTACTTGATATTACTAACAAGTTCCTATAAATGTTTTCTGCCAATGTTATTTAGTAATAATTTAGGTTTGTACATGTCCTCCCCGGTGTCAGGGATCCCAGTGGCATGGCTACCAAATCTGTTATAGTTATATTATATTATTATATTATATTATTATCATATATTATTATTATCATATATTATTATTATCATATATTATTATTATCATATATTATATTATTAGATTATTATCATATATTATTATTATCATATATTATATTATTAGATTATTATCATATATTATTATTATCATATATTATTATTATCATATATTATTATTATCATATATTATATTATTAGATTATTATCATATATTATTATTATCATATATTATATTATTAGATTATTATCATATATTATTATTATCATATATTATTATTATCATATATTATATTATTATTATTATCATATATTATTATTATCATATATTATTATTATCATATATTATTATTATATTATTATCATATATTATTATTATCATATATTATATTATTAGATTATTATCATATATTATTATTATCATATATTATTATTATCATATATTATTATTATCATATATTATATTATTATATTATTATATATGTTATTATTATCATATATTATTATTATCATATATTATATTATTATATTATTATCATATATTATTATTATCATATATTATTATTATCATATATTATATTATTATATTATTATCATATATTATTATTATCATATATTATTATTATCATATATTATTAGATTATTATCATATATTATTATCATATATTATATTATTATATTATTATCATATATTATTATTATCATATATTATATTATTAGATTATTATCATATATTATTATTATCATATTTTATATTATTAGATTATTATCATATATTATTATTATCATATATTATTATCATATATTATATTATTATATTATTATCATATATTATTATTATCATATATTATTATTATCATATATTATATTATTATATTATTATCATATATTATTATTATCATATATTATTATTATCATATATTATATTATTAGATTATTATCATATATTATTATTATCGTATATTATTATTATCATAATTATATTATTAGATTATTATCATATATTATTATTATCATATATTATTATTATCATATATTATTATTATCATATATTATATTATTAGATTATTATCATATATTATTATTATCATATATTATTATTATCATATATTATTATTATCATATATTATATTATTAGATTATTATCATATATTATTATTATCATATATTATTATTATTATCATATATTATTATCATATATTATATTATTATATTATTATCATATATTATTATTATCACATATTAT